ATAACTTTTGGAAAATGTAATGTAAAATATATCAGAGAAAAATAAATTTCAAAAGCCCTGGAAATGCCTGTTTCCTGTAAAGTACAGACTATACAAAATAGCCTACTATTTAATTAGAGCTTTTATTTTAAGTACTGATAAAGAAGACATTCTTTCATATCCTGAAATCAATCAGAAATACCACATTCCAGTAGATTTGTTGAAACTGAACCTTGTAACATCAAGGGACCAGCCACCAGGCCCCTCCACATTCTCTGTGACCTTTGTGGTGTATAAGTCCTCAACAACATTGAAGCAACAAGTCCCAATGCAAATTGTTGTTCCAGTCTTAAAATGTCCCCGACTGTGTATGATATTTCTGCAAACAATGCAGGCTTCATAAACAGGATTGAGGAAACATTGGTTCTTAGGCTTTCGTCATAAATAATGATGGTGATCAGCCGGGCGATGGTATCGCATGCCTTTAATCCCAGCACTTGGGAGGCAGAGGCAGGCAGATCTCTGTGAGTTCGAGACCAGCCTGGTCTACAAGAGCTAGTTCCAGGACAGGCTCCAAAGCCACAGAGAAACCCTGTCTTGAAAAACCAAAAATAAAAATAAAAATAAAAAATAATGATGGTGATGATCTCACAGACAGCATCACTTTATTACCGTACAACATTTAACCCTTTCAGCTCTCACGACCCCTGATGTGCCCTTACAGGAAGCTGATTTCGCATCACATGGAACACTTCCTTCGACAGATTTTTTTCCCCCAATATAGTGTTTAGTCAGTTCAGAAATCTTTATAGCTCTCTGCAGCTTTTATTTTACTAAGGACAAGACCTCAGTGACAGACTCACTTACAAAAGGAAACTCGCAGGTATTTCCACTTGCTGGTTAAAGCTCGATCATATTGGAAGCCGTATTGCTGCTAGGTCATCTGGAATTGCTTTACTGATTGTCCCCAATTGCTGAAAGCTGGACTTCTGCCACTCTGTGATCTAATGAAGAGAACCAGTATTAGGAAACTCTGTGCCTGTGAGTTGTTCCTCAAAAAAAAAAAAAAAAAAAAAAAAAAAAAAAAACGATTCTCTGCAAGGCTTGTGAGAAACAAAGCCCAATGTTGCAAGAGAGAACAAGGAACATATGTTCCCAGGATCTGCTGAGTATGCTATCTTGATATATTGTGGCATTGTCTTCCCATTAAGGTAAATTAAGCAGCTGTCTCTTACTATATTGTGTAAATGTTGCTTCAGAATGGGGAATTGTTGGTGAGATATCAGCATGAGAAGGAGATGATATCATCCTGCAGAGTTATATTGGTGATTATTAGAAGAAACAAGAAGTTTATCCGCTGGTAAAAACTGGAAATAAAAATGAGAAAACCAAAAAAAAATGAATAAACAGTAAAAAGGAAAATGACTGGAACAAACCAATGCTTCAGTTAAAAGGACAGCTGCATCTCTACAGATTAACTGTCCTAAAGTAATGTCACTATGTGTCATGAGAGCTCTGCTAGCAAAAACTATATAAAAATAAAATAGAAAATAATGACATTTGTAATATCCTAGAGAATATTGAATAAAGGCAGGTCCATGGAAAGCTCATTTGGGTATTTTTTATTCATCATTAGCTGGCCACAGTGTTTGCTGACTGTAACCTTGGCACTCAGGAGGCAGAATATGAGGACTATGAATTCAAAGTCATCCTGGGCTGCCCAGTTAGAGCTTTGCCAAACAAAACAATATTAAGCAAAACTATTAATGGTGAATTATTTAACAAAAGAATCATTTTAATAACTTCTTTCTGCTCATTGATATTATACACATTAGCTAATTTTTAAATTGTTTTTAAAATTTAGTAAAAGTTCAGGAATTAAGGAAAACAGTGGAGAGGTTGTCTAGCATTGTTCTACTCTGAATTATTCCTTTGTTTCAGAAATATGCAATTTGTTTTTCCCTTTTCTCTCTTGTGTTCAAAGAAGCAATCATGAGTTGTTAGAATAAAGATCACTTTATTTCTCTTAATCAGTAAGAAGACAATACAACTCGTTTCATGTTAATTCAAATATATCTATTTGAAATAATCTTATTTCTGTTTGACTGTAGTAGTTGTTTTTAAATAAAATGCATATCTCATGTATACACTGTATAATATTGGCAATCAATAAACACTAAGTAAATAGAGCAGAAAATCTAATTCACAAAATGGATCATTTAACATTTTGGAAATGTGCTTTATAGAACGTTCAGAGAATGCAGGGTAGGGGAGATGCCTCAGTGATTGAGGAACTTTACATGCTCAAGTGTGAGACTCTCCAGCGCCCAAATAAATTATAGTGTGTATGCCAGTCCAACTAAAATTCTCAATATAGAGGGCAAAGTCTGGGGATCCCGGTGCAAGGTGGCTAGAGAGATTAGCCTCATCTCTGAGTTCAGAGTCAAATTGAGAGTTCCTGATTCAAAGGCTAAGAGCTATTGAAGCTGGTCCCACATGTCAACTCTGTTCCCCCACATGCCTATAGATGCATATGTAATTGTTTCCACACACCTGAAAACATTTACACACATGTCCACAAGATTAAAAAGGAGGGAAAATAGAAAACAAAAATATAAACCCTTTGGATTCATTTTAATTTCTTTATACTGAAGTTTCCCCGTGATATCACACTGAGAGGTCCTGACTGAGTGTGAAACCCACCACCACCCCTCCTTTTAATACACCACACTGCTCTTAAGACTTCTGTGGAGAATCTGTGACCTTTGCTGAGGGATAAAATGAAGCATGAAGAAGATAGAAAATTATATTTCTTCGAGTTGAAAGATAACCCAGCAACAGAATTCAATAGAAATATCTCAAAAGTTTGACTGCTGGTTCTATGCTAGACTGCATCTCTTATTTTTCTTTCTGTGGTTAGTATTTTTCGTCTACATTTGTCAAATGATTTTGAGTCTTTTAGTCCTCTTGCTTTTCATTTTTATAACCCATTTTATCTGATGATGGGTAAGGAAACGAAACTAGTCATTCAGGCTAGCTGAATTTGCAGGCTGGATCCCTTCTCATTTATTGCCGTAAACTTTTTACAACTTCAGTGAAAATTCTCTAGTTTCCTTCTTAATCAATTTCACAATTTTTAATGTAGAACTAAAGATTTCACACAGATATTTCAGATAAGTTTTTGTCACTACAGTTGTTGCATTGTTTCTTGGTTAGATTTCCAGAGTTTAAAAAAGCACTTTAAAAGATTTCTCCTTAAAATAAAAAAATATATATATTAATTTTGCTTTATGGGTATGAGTGTTTGTCTGGATGAAGGCATGTATAGTGTATACATATAAGGGGTCCACAGAGGCTTAAACAAGGCTTGTGATTCCCTGGAACTGGAGATACAGATTACAACATGCCACCACATTCGGAAATGAACCCAAGTATTCCATAAGACCAGCAAGTCCTCTGAACCGCTGAGCTATCTCTTCAGCTGTGGAAGGCACAGCTCTAAATGATACATCAATATAACATTTCCTCTGTCCAAGGCTTGAGGATCACGGTGGGAGAGGGGATGAAAAGATTGTAAGAGCCAGACTCAGTAACTGAGTATAAGGAAACAGTGTTTTCTGGATGCAATGGTGTTACTGCACAAACAGCAGCCGTGACCAAATGCCCATGATCAGCACAGGCTCACGGTAGATGAGATGCTCAGGATGAGGTCATACAGTCCCACTGCCAGCTGAGGAACACTTGCTATTTGATCCAGCCTGTGGGGTGTGGACAGATTTCTCTAGTGGTGTGATTTCCATCACATGGACCATACTAATCCTGGACAAGTCTGAGTGAGCACACTCAATGAATCTAATTTTAAAGAACACAGTCTCCATCCTATAACATGTAGAAACCCTGCAAATACAAGCCCTCTGTTCTTGACAGAGGCAGCCAAACCACAAGTGAGAAGCATCCTGAGTCATCTGAGTGATGGTTGATGTGAGGATACCTCCTATATAGTACTGAAATAAGAAGAGAAAGGGAAAAGTCCTCTTCGTACCATTGTAATGCTTATCACCTGTCAAAAAGGACAAGTTAGGAAACTTTTAGAGGTCCGTTTCTATACTCTTTAAAAACTGTTCTGTTTTTATTTAAATAAGGCATTGGTTGTGACAAAAGTATAGCAAGTATATGTGTGTATATAATAAACCAATTTATATATGTATATATTAAATACATAATGCATTAAATATAAGCATTGTTATTAAGAAATATATTTAATAATAATGAGTGTTTTGTTATATACTTGCTTGTTATATAAATGCTCTGAAATTGTCAAATTTTATCTGGGAAGGAAACAGGATGTGAATTAAATTTAATGTATGACAAGGCTAGGAGAACCTGATATTTGTATGCTTTTCTTGTAAGACTTCATGGAGCAAGCAGCAAAGATTACAACCATTGGAATAAAGATTTTATATTCATCTATTTCTGTACATGACTTCAATTCATTATCTTCCTGAAGTTATCAGCTACTTAAGTGATGAAATGAGTCTTGACTACATTTGGCTTATTTGGGATCTTACTTGGAGATAGCCCTGTGTTCGCTCAGGACAGCTGATAATCTTGAAGGACTTTATTCCCCCAAATCTGTTTGATCTGTGGATCCTGTCACATCTTTCTAAGCCAAGAACATGGTCTAGTATTTGAGGGCAGGTTCTTCATGATACTCACATACTCACAGGGATCTTTTAAAATCACTTCTGATATCCAATTTACTTTTATAAAAATATCAGAAATGGCAAAAAGAAACTTTCCACAATAATCAGAACATCACAATTATTGTCAATCCTGTAAAAGTCTGTCTACAGAAGGATTTACAAATGTCAACTCATGTCATCAACTGATGGGCACATTCAATATTGTTTGGGGGACAGCTACTGAAATCTGTGGAATCCCAGGAAGAAATTAGTCATGCCTTCTGCTCTGGCACTTTCTTAACTGAAGGTAAATAAAATATAAGAAAACCATAGACTGCAAAAGAACTGCGGGAGAAATCAAATGAGTTAGTTCTTCCTTGCACAGGGGCCAGGCTAATCTTCTCTGTGTCGTTCCAATCTTAGTATATGTGCTGCCGAAGCGAGCACATGAGTACATCCTTTTAGAGGATTTCTGACAATTCTGGAAGTTATATGACAAAATGGAAGAGGAAAGGAGCTACGTTTACTCTCTGATGACAGTGTTTCCTGCAAGGGTGATAACTTGGGCAATGTAGGTGAATTATTATTTATTTGAATGTTTACTAAAAATCAAAGTTTAAATGAGATTGAGATCCAGAAAACCCTTAAGGTAGTGCTCATTGTGACTGCGCACCCTTCATATCTAGATCCTCTTCAAATAGAATGAAAAGGTGGAAATTTTCTAACAGTTTGGATTGGAGCTAGAGGAGAATGTTCAAGTAAACCAAACTTCTACCCATGGGTTGAGCTATATTAGTGTACTGTGTAACCCTTTGTACACATATCAGAGTATAAAATATGACCTCTATAGTGTACTAGGGTAAATTCCAAGGAACTAAAATTTAGAGGAACATAAGTAATGGTGAAAGTGTGCTTTGTTTTATCTTCCCCACATTTCAGTTTGTGGGGAATCCAGCAGGAAAAGAAAAATTGAAAGACACAGTGTCATGGAGCTCAAAGGAGTTTCTGTTAAATTTAAGAAAATATGACTTGGTTTTATTTGACTGTGTTTTTGGCTATACTTAGGAGAAATAATGCAAACAAGAATAAACCCTGTACTCATGTGTGCTTTGAATCCTAACTCAGTCTCACTAAGAAACATCACTCTTTGCTCATCAATCAAATTCTCCAGCCAAACTTTACATAGCAATCGGGTATCTAGAGACCCAATAAAGACTGCCTGCAGTTCACCAATTCTAGGGTTCTTAGGTCACACTCATTAGGTTGCCCAAGAATGATCTCCAAAGTTGTCCATTTGAAAAAAAAAATGATCCAAGTGAATAGCAGAGAGCTGGCTAAAGGATTTCTTCAGATAATATTTTTATTTATCCTTCGAGAATTTCATATATTTTTATACATCATTAATCACATCTATTGATATGACCTCTTTCTAACTTCTCCTTGTGCACCATCTTTCCCTCAACCTCATATTGTCCTATGTCAGTTGTTGTTACTTATAACCTTCTGAGTCCAATTAGTGCAGGTCATTTGTACAGAGGTATGAGGTCATTGACTGACACATGGAACCACATCCCTAAAGGAGAGGGACTCTCCTTTTCTCAGTAGCCATTCTTTATCAGTAACTGTTCTACCAGGGGAGGGGCTTCAGGGACACTTGCTCCATTCATTTTTGAACAAAAACATACTTTTATCATGAAAGTAGATCAAAAGTTAAATTCACTTGATGTTATCACCCAAGAGGCATCCTGCTGAAATTTCAATTTGATGTTCTCCATTCTGTTTTCCATGTCTGTCTCTATAGCCGAAGCAAATAGCTATCTCTGGGGTAACCAAAATTGAATACACTTAAGCGTCAGTGGTTTCTCTTACAAATATTCTGTGCCCTTGAAATAAGCAGTCATAAAAGCAATTCACAAACTTAGAGGCACTGAAAGCATGCTGTCACAGTGTCACCTCTATGATCACCATTTGAATGATATATGTGACTATTTTACCTTATCCTGCTGAGCCCAAATGTGTCTCACTCAATCGGCAGATTTAACTCTTCCAGCTCCTAAATAAGTATCATCCTGAGCAAGAAAGTCAGCAGGAAACTGAGAATAGTGTCTCAAGCCTGAGGCAGGAGTTTTGTCATTAGTTCAGAACCAACACGAGATGTCTAATGAATACCAGGCCAACTTAGACTATAGAGGAACAGTGTATTAAAAGAAGCAAGCAAGCTAATGAAAAAGAAAAATAATTTGAGTGTGACGGGCAAAGTCTTCGGGATGAAATATTTGAATGATGTATCTGAATATGTAGTCAGATTAAAATTACGTCTAGCATGTTTTTATACTTTTTTCTAATTTATATTTTGATAAAATCTGCAGTTTTCTGGATAATTCACCTTTCTCTGTTAGTATAAAATAGATAAACAGAAAGTCTAACGATTCCTTGTCATTCCCCTTCAGATAAATATTTTCTGAGCTATCACAGTTTCAATTCTATTATAACCTTGCAAAATGCTAACAGGAAAACTATCCTGTAAATATATCTGTAATATTATTTTCCTAAATAAAACATCAGCAAGTAGTTTTTAGTGTATGACCAACAAGAGAAATGTCTTCATTTTTATAGATACCATCATCACTAACATCTTAATTTCCTCTACTATTCATTTACAAATCTCAACACTCGAGATTTCAATTCAGATATAAATTAAAGTGCCAATAAAAGGAACTGCAAATATATCTCAAATGAAAGGCAAATGTTACATTTTCTGCTTCAATTTAGAATAACTTGAAATAGATTTTAAAGAACTTATGATATAAAAGAATACATCAAATATTTTCTAGTCTGCTTATTTTAATCATTCTCAGCTTTTCCCTAAAATATCACTCAAGTGGGGCTGGAGAGATGACTCAGTGGTTAAGAGCATTGCCTCCTCTTCCAAAGGTCCTAAGTTCAATTCCCAGCAACCACATGGTGGCTCACAACTATCTGTAATGAGGTCTGGTGCCCTCTTCTGGCCTGCAGACATACACACAGACAGAACATTGTATACATAATAAATAAATAAACAAACAAACAAACAAATAAATAAATAAATTTTTTAAAAAGATATCATTCAAGTAACTTAAAAAATGTAAGACTTTTTTATTAAAGAATATCTTTAAAATTAATTCAGTGATGTGTTTGTAAAATAATACAAAGGGCTGTTATCTATGCAGTTTCTCCTCTTTGTATATATTTGTATATGATGCATGTATGTAAATATATATATAATTACAATACAGAGTACTTTACATGTTGCATATCCTATGAAAACTACATTTCATACTTAAATCATATTATTATGGTTTTTATAATTATAAAGTTTTAGTATACATCACTATTATTTATAAAATCATTAAGCTATTCTAAACAGAAATATAGACTTAATCAAAAGGTAAATTTATAAACAGATAATAATTCTTATTTTCTAAAAAATGATATACAGATATTATATAAGCTTAGTGGAAAAATATATAGTTAATATTCTAAGATTTTCTTCACCATAGCTTCTGAGAATTTTGTAAAAATAACAGTAAAATATTGAAAGCCTGTCCCAAATAGCAGCTGGCCACCATTGATTATGTAAATATTCATTTATCTTCATGATGCATTTGAGAGTTTTCAACATAATGCATTTCAAATTTAAACAATAAAGAACTAGAACATTAGGTTTTTAAATAAGATAGACAATTTTAGACTTTTTTATTTTTAAATTAAGTTCTAGGCTCATCTAAAAGGTAACTGACTGTGTTCTGACATTGTCATTCATATACAATATAATTTGTTGATAATTAACAAAGCCTCTAGATTACTCTATTTTTAAAAAAGGAAATAACGACAATAAACATAGTACAACTGAAGGAATGGGTCAGCAGTTAGAGACATTTGAGACTTTCGCAGCCTACTGGTTTTCAGATCCCAGCACCCACACTGTGCTCACATTTCTCTGTAACATGTTACACGTTACTACATGTTATTTGATGCTCTCTTGTGGCTTCTGTGGACTCCTGCACAATACGGCACCCCAAAACTTACTCCAGTAATCACATATACTTACATATAAAAATAAAATATAAATTAATATTTCTGACACCAGAAATTAATAAGCAAATATTAATACCGAGCCTAATGGTGAGCAATTACGGTTATTATATGCCAGTTGAAATAACCAGGAAGAGATGGACAAACTACAGGTATATACAAATTAGTAAGACAAAGTCGAGAAAAAACTGACCACCTAAAGTTTGAAAACAAATACAGATACTGGACCAGTAGTTAAAATTTCTCTTCAAAGTAAAGGCCAGTGCTCGATTCAGCAGCACATATACTAAAATTGGAACGATACAGAGAAGATTAGCATGGCCCCTGGGCAAGGATGACACGCAAATTAGTGAAGCGTTCCATATTTTTAGGTCATGCTCAACCTCCTTAGCGATCAGGGAAATGCAAATCAAAACAACTTTGAGATATCATCTTACACCTGTCAGAATGGCTAAAATCAAAAACACCAATGATAGCCTTTGCTGGAGAGGTTGTGGTGGAAGGGGTACCCTCATCCACTGCTGGTGGGAATGTAAACTTGTGCAACCACTTTGTAAAGCAGTGTGGCAGTTTCTCAGGAAATTCGGGATCAACCTATCCCTGGACCCAGCAATACCACTCTTGGGAATATACCCAAGAGATGCCCTATCATATGACAAGGGTATTTGTTCAACTATGTTCATAGCAGCATTATTTGTAATAGCCAGAACCTGGAAACAACCTAGATGTCCTTCAATGGAAGAATGGATGAAGAAAGTGTGGAATATATACACATTAGAGTACTACTCAGCGGTAAAAAACAATGACTTCTCGAATTTTGCATGCAAATGGATGGAAATAGAAAACTATCCTGAGTGAGGTAACCCAGATCCAAAAAGATGAACATGTACTCACTCATAATTGGTTTCTAGCCATAAATAAAGGTCATTGAGTCTATAATTTGATATCCTAAAGAAGCTAAATAAGAAGGTGAACCCAAAGAAAAACATAGAGCTATCCTCCTGGGTAGGGGAAGTAGACAAGATTGCCGGGCAAAACATTGGGATCTTGGGGGTGGGGAGGAAGGGGGGTAAGGGGAGATGGGGAGAGAAAAGTGAGAAGGGGAGGATGGGGAGAACTTGGGGAAACGGGATGATTGGGATAAAGGAAGGTTGGATAGGGGAGCAGGAAAGCACATATCTTAATTAAGGAAACCACCTTAGGTTTGGCAAGAGACTTGGACCTAGAGGGGCTCCCACGTGCCCAGCGCGATGTCCTCAGTTAGTTCCTGGGGCAGCTGAGGATAGGGAACCTGAAATGACCCTATCCAATAGCCATACTGACGAATATCTTGCATATCACCATAGAACCTTCATCTGGCGATGGATGGAGAT